GACACGTAGTTTCATTTTGAAAGCCTTTAGTTAAAAGAGTTGACCAAGATTTGAATGTAACCGACCTCGGATTGGTGCTTAGATGGTTTCAATAGGTTTGCATGGTAATTTTGAACTTAGCTGGATATTGGGATTTGATTTTGAATGTTCCTAGAAGATTTTGAGCCTATTTGCTTAAAGTTGACAATTTGAAGAGTTGAGGAGTTATTAAGTTTGATCGATAGATGACTTTGATATCATCGGAATCAAATGTTATTCTTGAACTTGAGACATTTTTATGTTTTTGTATGGATCTTGTGTGCAAAGTTTGATTGCAATCTAGATTAGTTAGGCTTGAATCGGATGCTTGGTTGAAAGTTTAGAAGTTCTTGAATTTAAGAGAAGTGCAACTGTTGTATGATCCTTGATTCATAGATGTGATAATCTGGTATGTGTTTGGAAACTTTGGATAGGTCCAGGTAGTATTTATGGACTTTTTGGTATAATTGGACGGGGTCCCGGGTTGCTCGGGTGAGTTTCAAACCACCCAGAGCATGTTTGGAGTTGGCTAATATGATGTGTTTGGTTTTCATCGTGTTCGCGAGGGCACTCTCACATTCGCAATGAAAGATTTAGGCTGGAGGTCATTTTTTCTTCGCATTCGCGCTTGGTGAGTCACGTTCATAAAGCTTGTTAGCAATGATACTTCGTGTTCGCATTGGGGGGATCACGTTTGCAAAGAGGAAGTTGGGAGCTGGGAGCTTAGCCTTGCGTTTGCGAAGGCATGGTCGAATTCGTGGAGAAGGCTGGAAGCTAAGGCATCGCGTTCGCGGGTGTTATGTCGTGTTCGCGTAGGTTGGTCCGGCAGTGCATCGCGATCGCGAGGGGTCTTCCGCGATCGTGAAGTATGAATTCTGGCAGAAGCATTTTTGTGCTTTACGAACATGAGGCATGGATCGTGTTCACAAAGAGTACCCCTAAGCAGACTATTTTAAGTATTATTTCGGGATTTTAGCCCATTCTCTCTTATTTTGAACTCTAGACTTGGAGAGGGGCGATTTTTCTCGAAAATTTTCATACAAGACCAAGGAATAAGTGATTTTTAATTATTTTTGATATTATTTAAGAATCTACATGGATTATTAACACCTAAAACATAGAATTTTGAGATGAACTTTGAGAATTTGCCTACAAGCTAAGAGAGTAAATATTGAGGTTTTGAGCAATGATTTAGACTTAAATTGGGGAAATAAACATATATTTTGACTCATGGGGTCATGGGTAAACAAGATCTACCCCTAGACTCAGGTTTGACCATATGAACTTGGGGTTGACTTTTTGAGAATTATTTAAAGATTGAAGCTAGACTGTTTGGAATTGATTCCTATGGTATTAAGTGTTATTAGCTAGTTTCGAGCCGGTTGAAGGTAATTTCTTAAGGAAAGACAATTTTGGAAGGTTGAATTGGGCTTGTTAAGGTAAGTATCTTACCTAATCTTGTTGTGAGGGAATAACCCTTAGGATNATATATATATATATATATATATATATATATATATATATATATATATATATATATATATATGCGAGTGTTATATATGATTCATGACTGGATTAGACTTTAGGCTTCTATTATGCCTTGTTTGGATTGTGCGCTTTTAATGATTCATGTTTAATCATTTATATGACTACACGAGTTTATCTTTTCATGCTAGTGATCATGTTTAGGATTATTGTCTCTTAATTAGACAAGATGGGCTATTTGTGAAATTGTTGCTATAACTGATATAGTCGTAGTCATGTTTCACATCTTAAGCACAAATCCGCACTTTCTATATTATGTCCTTGTGCAGCTTATTGATTAATTGTGAGCAAATGTCTCTTTCATGATGCAAAAATATTTAGGATTGTTATGATTATAGAACATATGGACATATTGAGCATTGATTTGGAATTGGCACAAGGTCTCTTCCGTGCAGTTTTTGTGGTATTGTGATTGTTGTGGCATAGGGTTTTTGTAGTGTGGTTATAATAATATTGTTACTGTTATTTGCACGAGTATTATACCGTGCAGTGTGTGAATTTGGATTCATCCCTTGTGTCGATCTCTCATATTTCTCTCTTGATGGCGTACACACGGATTCTGATAAATGATAGATTGGTTAATTCTGATATAGAATCCGATGATAGTGCGTTTTGAGCATAAAGGTGGAAGCTTTGACCATGCAAGTGAATCCTCTATGCCTTGTTATGCATTCTGTATGTTTTTGTGTTGAATTCTAACATGTTGCTCGATGTCGTTGTTATATGTTGATGAGTTGTTAGTCAAGATTTAATTATCCATGTTGAGAGTATCTCTTGATATGGAATTTAATGGTATTGCATCTATTGTTATATTCTTGTTGCAAATTATTATAAATTGCACATGTTTGTTTTATTAGTGAGTATCACGTGACTTGAACCCCGTCATTACTTCACCAAAATTCATCTTGATACTTATTGAGTACACGTTATCCCGTACTCCTACTACACTTCTATACATTTTGTGCAAATCCAGTTGTTGGCAATAGCAGACTTCATAAGTGAGGCTCGTAGCTGACAGAGAGGATTCAAGGTAGTGCTGCATGATCGTCGCAGACCCTTGGAGTCCCCCTTCCCCTATCTTTCATACTATTATTTATACATTCAGACAATATTGTACTATTGGGATATTTTCTTGTATTCAGTTTTAGAGGTCCTATCTGGTTTTGGGGGATTTGATGTTAGTTTCTACATATATTATTTGTTGTTGAAGATTTATTCGGCTATTTATACCATTTCAGTCATATTATATCATGTTCCGTTGGATTAGATCTATTTTGCATGTTGACTTACCTAATCTTGGAGATTAGGTGCCATCACGACCTTTCGTGAAATTTTGGATCGTGACACCACGAGAAACTTCCTTTTGATAAAGTGATTATCAAGTTTGGAAAACATATGATTTCCAGATGTAACTGCTGCTCAAGCCCTAAAAATGAAACCATGCAATATGTTTATATGAAAGGTAATGCAGCTGATATATGGAAACTTATCGGTTCCCGTTGGGAATAAAATATCAGCAAAGCCTTGTTAGATACATGGTTAACACTCGGTGGCAAGTGAAGTCTCTTAATACTATTCATAAGCTGGTACAACAAATCACTTCTATAATAATCACCGTCTATTAGCATAAATTAAACGTAGGTTCATTTAAGTTGGGTACAAATGGAAGTTTTACTGAGGTAATGAAAAGACTGGCATAGTGGAATGGGTGAAGTTCTTAGAAATGACAATAAAGATCTCATCATGACCTTTTCCTTTCAAATTCAATATAGCAGTAAGTCAATAACAACTTTGCGAAAAAGGCTCATGCAGCCTGGTTTGGAGGAAACTAATGTATTCAAAATGGACAGAAATTTCACCATTGAACTAGATTCTCTGATTGTTATCAATATGCTAAAGGACAACAAATACAAGATGAATAAGAAAATTGAAAGAAACTTCACATGCCAATGTTAATATAAGCCGAATGCCCTACAACCGAGTTGTATATGCTGTACAGTCTTTATTTACAGTACCATAATCGAGCCTGTACAGTCTTACTGAAAACCTCATTGCATACAAATTGTATGATACAATGTTGAGTAGTTTGATACGATGTACAAGGCGGATCTAATGCATTGGTTACGAGTTAATATGTACCCACTAGTTTTTGTGAAGTTCCTATATATTTTTTAAGAAATTTAGTAATTAATTATGAACTCAATTATCATTATATATTAACTTGAGATTATTGTAGTAATTTATAAACTGCAAATCTTATATCCGCCTCTAACAATTTACAGGCAGTACATAGGCATGTGTCTACGGAATACTGAAAGTATAATTTGAGTTTTAGCTTATTAAGAATAAATTGAGAACATAGAGTCAAATGTTGATTATCTTAATTATTTTTTTCAATATATAAGTTTTTTTTTTTTTGTTCATCTTGTGGTCAGTCATTGTGATGCGTTGACCTTGTCACCAGATAACTGCGATTAAATAAGTTCGATAAGTTGGTCGATGCATTAAATGTATGTTAACAACCCTTTGGGTCTGTGGCATATTAATATCATCATACTTGTTAAACTAACTAGGGTTTAGAGATTTCATATCAAAGGATCACCTAAACAAATCGATCGATGCTTGCTGCTATTGTTTTTAATTTTCATATGTAATATCAATAGGCTCTCAACTTTAAAATTAAAGAAAGGCAATTGGGTTGTCATTTTCTTGTACTTTATGATACAAAGTAATTTGAGTAAGTTATCATAAACCTAAAGCAAAGAAGAACCACTTGTATATCAACATACATGGAATTCAATTATACAAATGTACATGTAATTCATTTAAAAAATATGTCACTTGTACTAATCCTCGGTAATAGCTTGTTTTTGATGATCTCCTCCTTTATGTTAAAGATTGAAGACGGGGGACGGAGGCAATACTAATCAACTGCAACATAATCAATCGAGCCATTTTCAAGAAAAGTGTCCACTCATTACCCACTTTCTCTCAAAGACCACATATCTTTTACACCTACATCATCTCCCACTAAACCTAGCAGCATTTGGTGGTCAATGGTTCAAACTCCACCTCCATAAAATACAAAATGAAAAAAATAAAAAATAAAGAGTTTTTTTCTTTTTCCAAGAAAAGATTTTACGTAGAGAAAAAGAAAACCCTCACTTATTTCTCTCTCTTTAATTATTAAGTTCATGACAGCAAAGATTCTTGTTGCTTGAAGAATAGGTACTACATTGCATATACATAACATAATTTGTTTAAAATGGATAAGGGGAATCTGAGTGAGAAACAAGAGTTAGTGCAACCATGAATAAGCTAGACTGTTTTTTGGTTTCCATATGTAATTTAATTAAACTCTTATTATTAATTAATATTCTTGGTATAGCTTTTTACCTTTTGTTTTGTGTATAAAAGGGCACACTTCCTATATTTTGCATACCCCAGCCTAAAACTAACCCCTTCATTCTTTGTGTGTAGAAAGAAGAGAAGGAGAGAAATGGCAGACCAAATGTTTTGTGGGGCATTTGGCCCATTCCTCAACAAGGTGAAGCCTTACTTGGCTATGGTTTCCTTGCAGTTTGGTTACGCAGGGATGTATATTGTTACAATGATGTGCTTCAAAAGGGGAATGAGTCACTGGATTCTTGTTGTCTATCGCCATGCATTTGCCACCCTTGCTGTTGCACCCTTTGCCATTGTTCTTGAAAGGTAAAATCTCTCTCCTATTCTCTTTTCCATGTAGTTCCTTAATTACTTGGTAGAACCCTCTCTTATTCAGTCACCAAGAAATCGGACGATTTTCCCCCCTTCCATTTCCTCTGGAAGTGCATATATGATCACTTCATATGACCTTGTTTGATCCTAGTTCTCATTTATATTCAACCATATTCAGTGTTGAAGTGTGTAACCATCTTTTTTAAAAGTTTAAGTTCTAGGTATGCAGGATTTTTGTCCCTTTTTTGCCATGGTATCATGTTGAAAATTTTGATAATTTAATTTAAAATCTTAAGTTGTTTGAGGGTGGTACACTAATGTTTATCTAATTATATCCTAATTTGAGAACTTATCAAAAAATTTGACGTTTTCCATCTTGCTGAATAATCTGAATCGCACAATAGAATATAAGTTGCCTACAAGTATCTTACAGAATATTTTTCTTTTTGCTTTCTTTTCTTTTGCAGGAAAATAAGGCCAAAGATGACACTCAGGGTCTTTATTAAAATATTGGCTCTTGGTTTTCTAGAGTATGTGATTCTTTTACACACTTTTATATTCTACTCAATTTACATGTGAACAAATTACTATAAATATATACTCCAAACTGTTTGTTCTCTCATAAAATTTAGTTGTCTATTCAGTCATCCAAACGTATGAGATTCTGATGTCTCTTTTTTCTTATTTATCTTTTACTTCATTTAATAGTTTTCTTTTTCTGTTTTAGCCTTCATACATCATGTATCAAAACTGAATACAGAAACATTATAAGTTGCCCGGCGTTTTCCTACAAGGTTACTCTTGCATGAAAGGGATTATATACGACAGTTAAATGTCAGATGTTCACTATTTTTATTTTTGTCAACTATTAGGAGTCGTTTGGTACCAGGGATAACGTGGGATTAAATTTATACCGCGTTTGGCTGGCGGGTATAAATTTACACGATATAAATTTAATCTCAGACTTAATCCAGAATATTTCATCTTATCTCACATTATCCCATCAAATTCGGGATTATTTTATCCCACCTCCCATATGGTATAAATTTCGTAAGCGTACCAAACGACCCCTTAGAGCATTTGGAAGGCGACTAAAAAAAATAATGAAAATCCAACTTTAAAATATAATTTAGCAGCTCTATATTGAGCTCCTACTCAATTATCTATATATATTTTTACCTGAATTCTTTCTAACAAATGCAAGATTTAACAATCTATGACTTTGGGAATTGAGATATTTTCCATGTGCCAAAAGATTCTCAATTTTCCATGTGCCGAAAGATTCTCAAACCCTCCTTTATTTACTTTGAAATACGCTTTAAGAGTAATATTAACGAATGTTTAGTTAAATGATACTACTACATATAGTAGCAAAACTTTTATAGCTTCATATCAACCGAAACCCTAACCTATGTTCCTACCCGACTTAAAAAACTTCTTCTTCTCTATTCCTGCTGGGTTTTCTACTTTATAAACTAATTCTTTTTTATTACCTTCATTCACCCACCTGTATTGGCTAGAGCCCATATTGTCTTACATGCTTTATGCCAAGAGAAAAGATGCATTTAACCAATTAATTAATGATCACATCCAACTGAATAAATTAAATACACACTTGCAAAGTACCTTTCTAAAAATCTGTTGTTTTTATGGTCTTTAGAGAGGTACGTCTTTTATTAAAATTTTAATATGTTTGGATGATAGTGTTTCCACAGTTTTCATTCATCTTCTGAGGTTAGCTTTAATTAGTTGAAGGAAAACAATAAGCAACTTCCTATATTAGAAATATCACTAATCATATTATTCTTTGACGTTAAACCTGACAAATAAATCCAATGAAGAACGTCAAAAAATCCTCATTCCAAATTAGAAAGCAAATTCATTTGTTCTATCTGTTTAATTTATTTGAAAAGTTTAAGCTACTAGATATACAAAAATGTTTTAAAATAAGTGAGTGCAGGGTTATAGATTCTATTTGAGAAATCGACACATTGATCAAGAATAAGGCATCTATATTAGTACTATCAAAGTATCGGAGCATACAATGATTCCAAAGAGATATCATTTCACGGAATAAATTTTAAGAAGTTTAGATTTATTTATTTTACAATTAAATCGAAAGATTTTTAATCCTTATATATGTTTGATGATATATAACTGTTGTTCTAAACGAAAGCTTTTAAATATATGGAATTTCAGGCCAGTTATTGATCAGAACTTGTACTATGTGGGACTGAAGAGCACAACTGCAACCTATGCATCTGCCTTTGTCAATCTTCTCCCTGCCGTCACCTTTATTCTTGCAGTTATTTTCAGGTACTCATTATTTTCCTTTTATCGTAATTTAATTTGTAAAAATAGTACTATTACTCCTTTAAAATCAAGAAAGTACCAAAAAAGAGCAAATAAAATGACATGGTGGATTTTGACACCTTTCTTTATCCCATAAAAGATACACTACTAGTTCATTACACAAGTAATAAATTATAAAAGTATGATCTCACCTAAACAAAGTTGCTGACTTGCTTCCCACTTGGAAAGCAATGATCTCAAAAAAGTTAGTGGTTGCTCCTGTAATATTGACATATAAGTTAAACTCCTAATTATTACTCCGTAGTTGTTATTGTGCTAGCTTTTATTAGTGGCTGAGATATAATTTTCACCAAAAAAATTAAATAAATAAATTTTAAAAAAAAACAGCTAAAAAGTAATTCATCATCTAATAGTCCAATATATATATAGCTACTATAGAACAAAATACTGTCGAAAAAATGAAAAACCATATTATAGAAAAGAAATAGAAACTCATGAACATAATTTCTTCCTCTTTTAATTTAACATAATCTTTTCTGGTTCTTTATGACTAGAATTGAGAAAGTAAACCTGAAGAAGAAATCAAGTATGGCAAAGGTGATAG